CCAGAATGCGTGTTCCTCGTTTTTGTTACCCAGATGTAGAACTCGGCACTTTTCCTTGTTAAACTGCATCTTGTTCACATCCGCCCACTTTCCCGGCGTGTTCAGATCTCGTTGAATTCTATCTCTATCTGCCGGTGTGTTCGCGGCTCCTCCCAATTTGGTGTCATCTGCAAATTTCACAGCACTATATGTACAACGCTCGAGGAAAAAAAACCACTCTGGGCCGCTTGGTTGTCCCTCAGTTCCCTCCGTGTGGGACGCGGAATGTGGCTTCCACGTCTGCCCTGTAGGTTTTCTGCGGGCATCTGTCCCATTACATTTTTATCCCTCTCCAAGGAGCCTAGGGTGGGTAAACGCTACTCCCCTCCCCACTTAATCCTCACAACAACCACTCTGTGAGGTAGGCCAGGCTGAGAATATGTGACTCCCTCAAGGTCACCCAGCTGAGCTCGCATTTGACTCTGGGTTCAAGTTTGATACCCTAACCACTATACCATGCTGTCCCCGGTTGGCCACTGTGTGAAACAGGAGGCTGCATTACAAGCACTGCTGGTCTGACTGTTCTTCTGGAAAGAAGATCGCTGAGCCACAATGATGAGTTTTTAAACCACTTTGAAACTGATTCCTGTCCCCTTTCCTCTCACAGAAACCCAATGTAGGGTTTCATGTTATACCTGCCTCACTTAGTAATTGTACTAGTCCAGTTACCTTTATTGGCATGTAACCCTTGCAAACCCATATACAACAAAAACAACCACCACCACCACAGCATAGAATGATACTTGCAAAATACAGAAACCAGGAATTACCAAGTAAGTATACCCATCAATTAAATAAAGGGCGAATAGAAATGGCACCAAAAAGAAATTTAGCAACAGTTTCCGTTATCTCAAGGTTTGGATTATCAAGAAGAATAAGGATCTTTAGGCAATGAGGATATTCTTCCAGTTGAGCCAAAATAAAATTTAGACATTTCAGTCGTAGCGCATGGTAGAAGGGGCACTGCAACAGGACATGGGAAATGGTTGCGATATTATCATTTGTGCACGGGCAACATCTGTCAGAAAAGGGCACACCCTGAAAGCGGCCAGATAATAAGGCCGACTGGTTACCTCTTCCTGAAAAATAAAATCACTTAACTGTCTTGTTTAGCGTACAGGCCCAATGCGGAGTCCAGAGCTTTATGCTACATATTGGATTATAGACATACTCAACTGGCCACTTGGAAATTGGAAAAAGTGCCGAGGAGGGCAACCAAGATGATTAGGGGGTTGGAACACCTTTCTATGAGGAATATTAGAGTTGGAAGGGACCTTGCAGGTCATCTAGCCCAACCCCCATGCACTCTGCAGGAGCATAGCCGAAAGAGAAGCCCTACAACAGACCCGCGAAGGAGCCTCCACCACCTCCCGAGGCAGTCTGTTCCACTGCTCAACAGCTCTAACAGTCAGGAAGTTTCTCCTGATTTTCAGCCTTTATCAACTCCCTTGTAATTTCCACCCACTTGATCTAGTCTTGCAATCCGGAGCAAGAGAGAATAGATCCGCTCCACCTTCTACATGACAGCCCTTCAGATACTTGAAGACTGCAATCATGTCCCCTCTAAGCCTTCTCTTCCCCGGGCTAAACATTCCCAACTCTTTCAGCCTTTCCTCGTAAGACTTGGATTCCAACCCTCTCACCATCCTGGTTGCCCTCTTCTGGACACGCTCGAGTTTCTCAACATCCTTCCTAAAATATGATGCCCAAAACTGGACACAGGACTCCAGGTGAGGCCTGACCATAGCAGAATAGAGCGGAACCACCACCTCCCTTGATCTGGACGCAATGCTTCTGTTTATGCATCCTAAGATTGCATTCGCTTTCTTCGCAGTCACATCGCACTGCAGGCTCATGTTCAGCTTGTGATCAACCAGAAAAGGGTTGCTTGATTTGGTGGCCTACTTTGTGGAAATTAAAAGGACAGACCTGAACATTTAGATTAATGATCTTTAAGATAAGGGGCTTGTTAGCTTGGAGATCCCCTGGTTAGTATTTGTTAATTTAGTCTTGACTGGAAAGCACCTGGATGTTCAAGTTGGAAATAGTGATAGCACAGACGGATTTTATAAACCAGCAATCTTATCATTCATAGAAGTAGCGACTGCATTAGCTCCTGGTCCATAGAGGTTATCACCAATAAGAGAAGGCCCGCAATGTTCCCTCTGAGAGTGTGTGAGCTAGCTTACAGTTTTTTTAGCCTCTGGCTCACGCATTCTTGTTTTAGCTCAGGAAGGATGGCTCCAGAGCAAACTAATTTATGCCAGTTTGGTGTAGTGGTTAAGTGCGCGTACTCTCATCTGGGAGAACTGGGTTTGATTCCCCACTCCTCCACTTGCATCTGGCTGGATGACCTTGGGCAAGCCGTAGTTCTGATAAGAGCTGTTCTTGAAAAAGAGCAGTTTCTCTCAGAGCTCTCTCAGCCCCACCGACCTCACAGAGTGTCTGTTGTGGGGAGGGGAAGGAAAAGGAGTTTGTAAGCCACTCTGAGACTCCTTTGGGTGGTGAAGGGTGGGGTATAAATCCAGTCTCTCCTCTCTTCTCTTCAGTAGCCAAATTGCTCGCTCACAACTTTAACGCCAGTAGCTGACAACATAGAATTTTGGCTCACAAGTCTCCACAGCTTAGAGGGAGCACTGGAGAAGGCTCAGCTTGCTATAGTGTGATCCATATTAGGAAATAACAGGATTGTTTAAGCTGTCGAAGGACAGCTAAGGGGGAACACAGTTAAGGGGGAACCTTTGCCTAGACAACCACCCTTGGAGGAGAAAGTCACAGTGACATTTGGCACGAAAGGCCTTATGTAAGGGTGTTGATGTGAGGGGAAAATCCAGACAGAAAAGTCCCGAAAACACGATATAAAGGTCCAAAGGCGTGGGACGATTCTGATTGGAGAGTAAAAGTGGGTAGATTTACCGAAAAAGGGTATAAGAATAGAAAGACGGGTCAGGTCGAGGACTGCACCTGCCCTCTCTCTCCTGCCTCAGTTCTGTCTCCACAGGAAATTTAAGGTGAGACCAACTTGGACACAACCCTCGTATCAACAAAAGGCAACACAAGAAAATAAGAACATAAGAGACGCCAATGTTGGCTCAGGCTAATGGCCCATCCAGTCCAACACTCTGTCACACAGTGGCCAGAAATACCAGGTGCCATCAGGAGGTCCAGCAGTGGGGCCAGAAGGTATGGCAGAAGGAAAGTACCCTTCAAATTAGTGAACAACAGTGGACTCAGATATGGACCTCAAATGTATTTCGCAGTGAATCCCTTAATATAAGCTTATTGCAATTTAAAATATTTGTGAGGCGGTATTTAACACCTGTAAAGCTTTTTAGAAGTAAACTTCAATCTAACTCAAACTGCTGGAAGGGATGTTGAGAGTCAGGAACCTTTCTGCATTGCTGGTGGTCTCGCCCTAAAGTCCAAGATTACTGGGCTTCAGTAGTTTCTAAAATTTCAGAAATAGTAGGCAGTGATGTTCCTTTAACTCCTGAATCCATTCTACTAAATTTTTGGCCTGAGCACTCATTTTCTCCTTTGCGTCGGGATCTCATTTCTCTCCTGTTAGTCACTGGCAGATCTTTATTAGCCCAGTTATGGAAATCTAGGAAAATACCCTCACTTGAAGCGTGGTTCCAGAAAGTGTGGGATATAGATATTCAGGATAAAACAGCTACACAAATACTGTTGATGGAGACCCCAGGTTATAAAAATAATTTTGTGAAAAAGTGGTATCCTTTTATAGATTATGTAAATAACGATCCCTCTGCGGAATGTAAAATATTTGGAATTTATCTTGTTTTAGGTCTATTCCCAAAATATGTAATGCAAAACTAGGTTTTAGTCTGTGTATCTATGTGTCTATATCATGTAATTATGTTTTTATTATTATTATTTTTATTTGTTCGACTTTTATCCCGCCCTTCCGCTGAAGCAGTGATATGTTATGGTTGAATCAGTTAATAAACTTTTAAAAAAGAAGAAGGCGAGACTCTCTCCTTCCAAACTCTGCGTTGGGCCTGGTGAGATGCGTAAATGCTACCATGTTGCTATGCTCTTTTGTTATCTTTGTTTCTTGCTTATTTTAAAATAGTTAAGTTCAAAATGGCATGGAGTAAGAATGTGGGCTGGGGGATGCACACAATGCAATTCTTGTATTCAGGGATGAGATTGTTGAAACTTTGGATGTGATCACAAGGAAAGGCCTTTGTTAAAATTATGTTTGAATAAACTTTATACTCCTGCCAACCTAGCCGTTTGAAAGCAAGAAATTGGAAGTAGTTAAATAGGTACCACTTCGGTGGGAAGGGAACAGCGTTCCATGCGCCTTGGTGTTTAGTCATGCCGGCCACATGACCACGGAAACGTCTTCGGACAGCGCTGGCTCTTCGGCTTTGAAACGGAGATGAGCACCGCAACCCTAGAGTCGGACTCGACTGGCTTTCGAGCAAGGAGGAACCGTTACCTTTACCTTTAAACTCTATACATTTATAAAATCTAGCGTCTGGTGTCCTCCTTCCCTGGGAACGATGCCCTCTCCAGAGCAAAAACAAAAGATTCTCTCTCGCAGCTAAGGGGCTGACCTGGAGAGAACACAGGTTAATACTGAGAACTGCAGAACTGATAAATTACTAAGAGTACCAGAGGAAGGAAGCTTTGACTCTTGTCAGCTAACACTCCTAACGTCTCATTGGTCTCTAAGGGACTGCTAGACTCAAATCTTGCTAAGAGTATCAGTTTACTCCCCACAATTAGAAAGATACCTTTACACACTTATCTGCTATTTTAACATATTTATTGCTTTATGACTGTTGACCTTACAACCTTAGCTTATTATTTAGTTTTGTCTTTGCACATCTTCATCATGTTACAGGTTAATTTGCTGTTCAGCCCATTATAAGATTGAACCTTACCTAAGAACATAAGAACAGAAGAGAAGCCAATGCTGGATCAGGCCAATGACCCATCTAGTCCCAACACTCTGTGTCCCACAGTGGCCAAAAATACCAATGTATCCAAAGAAATGTGCATGAACAGCACACGAGAGCGCATACCTTGAATAAAACTTTGTGGGTCTTAAAGGTGCCACTGGACTCTAAATCTGTCCCTCTTGCTAAGAATGTATTCATTTAAAAGATATCCTGACTTTCCTAGCGGTACGAAGGGGCTTACAAATACAACACAATCCTTTTGGAAGTCATTAACCTGCTCGGAGAATTACAACTCCTTGGTTTTAAGCTGCAACAATTAAACAGGTTTGAAACTGGTCTGAAGCTGTCCTATCATAGGACGCATGCAGTGTAAAAGACTGCGACCAGCTGCATCCAAGATGTGACATCACAACACACACACACCCTCTATAATCACATCTCCCCTGCCCTCACAAGCACCCTGTCAGTTTGGTGTCGTGGTTAAGTGCACGGACTCTAATCTGGGAGAACCGGGTTTGATTCCCCACTCCTCCATTTGCCCCTGCTGGATGGTCTTGGGCAAGCCACAGTTCTCTCAGAGCTGTTCTCTCAAGGACAGTTCTGGAAAGAGCTCTCTCCGCCCCGCCTACCTCGCAGGGTGTCTGTTGTGGGGAGGGGGAGGGAAAGGGGTTTGTAAGCCGCTCTGAGACTCCGAGTGAAGGGTGGGGTATAAATCCAAACTCTTCTTCAGTTTGGTGTAGTGGTTAAGTGCGTGGACGCTAAGCTGGGAGAACCGGGTCTGATTCCGAACGCCTCCACTGGCAGCTGCTGGATGACCTTGGGCAAGCCATAGTTCTGTCAGAGCTGTCCTTGAAAAAGAGCTGTTTCTGTCAAGAGCTCTCTCAGCCCCACCTACCTCACAGGGTGTCTGTTGTGGGGAGGGGAAGGGAAAGGAGTTTGTAAGCAGCTCTAAGACTCCGAGTAAAGGGCAGGGTATAAACCCAATCTCCTCCTCCTCCTCTCCTCCTCCTCCTCACCAATGTCAAACTACTCGTCCTGAGCTTTACTTCTCAAACGCCCCATTTCTCATAACATGGCTTCTCTTCTGTTCTTAGGGATAAACATATGGAGCAGAGGTCCACCTGTGGCTATTAGCCAGAAGGTATAGGGAACACTCTGTCTGGGGCAGTGATGCTCTGTATTCTTGGTGCTTAGTGGGCCATAGTGGGAGGGCTTCTGGAGTTCTTGCCTCTCTGGTGGACCTCCTGATGGCACCTGGGTTTGGGCCACTGTGTGACACAGTGTGTTGGACTGGATTAGCCACTGGCCTGATCCAGCATGGCTTCTCTTATGTTCTTATGTCTGGGGCAAGTGATGCCCTGTATTCTTGGTGCTTGGGGGGGGCCACAGTGGGAGGGCTTCTGGAGTTCTGGCCCTGCTGGTGGACCCCCTGATGGCCCCTGGGTTTTGGCCACTGTGTGACACAGAGTGTTGGACTGGATAAGCCACTGGCCTGATCCAGCATGGCTTCTCTTATGTTCTCTGGGGCAGCGATGCTATGTACTCTTGGTGCATGGGGGCCCACCATAGGAGGGCTTCTGGAGTTCTGGCCCTTGCTGGTGGACCTCCTGATGGCCCCTGGTATTTCTGGCCACTGTGTGACACGGAGTGTTGGACTGGATGGGCCATTGGCCTGATCCAGCATAGCTTCGCTTATGCTCTTATGTTCCTTTGGCTGGCCTGGGGTACCACTACCGCCACCAGTCTTCCCACCCAATGACTCTCTCTCTCTCTGCAACAGTTCTGCTTACCTGTGCAGGGATCCGCGGCTACCTCCCGCTCCTTGGAGTTCGGCTGCTCGGGGACGCATGGCTCCGCGCTCCGTCCGATCCTCGGCGGCGGCTCGGGCTTTGAAATGTTGATGTCTGCTCCTGAGGAAGCCACAGAGGGAAGCAACTTGAGGACTGAGCCAGGGAGATTCCTTTACGTGCCGGATTTACCGAGGGCCGTGTGTGTCGCCAGGCGGCTGCACTGCTTTCACACACACTAAATAACGCACTTCCGATGCACTTTGCAACTGGAGTTTACTGTGTGGAATGGCAAAACCCACTTGCAAACGGCTGTTGAAGTGGATTGGAACGGCATTGTTTAGCATGTGTGAAAGCGGCCAATGTAGTGATTTCATGCAGTGGTTTTAGTGCTACTCCTTTGGTCATCCTGTGGTTTCGAACACACCACCTTTGGAATCGTTGACTGACAAGAGTGGGCTTCAAGCATTGTAATACAGGGGCGTCAAACATGCAGCCCGGGGGCCGGATCAGGCCCCAGGAGGGCTTTCATCAGGCCCGGGGTAGAACTGGCCGTCTCCTGCTTCCAGTTCTGCTGCCGCTGCTACATCATAGCTTGCTTCGCCAGACTCTCTTAATCACTCAGCCATTTCATGTTTGAACCTGGGTCCTAGACTCAGAACTCTGAGCATGAGATTTCTGCGGTGAAGGTCAATAAACCAAAAGTAGGTTTGCAGCTTACAGATACACACTTGAAGAGCATACTCAAGATTGCAACAGCACAGACATTTTGATGCGATCATTCAGAGCAAGGGGTGTCAGTTATCAGACACGGTTAAATAAACAAAATACTGCAAGTGCGTTAATGTTTTAAGCATGTTTTTAAATTTTAAAAAACCCTTTGTGTTTGTGTCCTTTATAAAGTTTATATCTCCGCTACCTGGCATTACATTTTATGACACACACATGGCCCGGCCCGACAAGGTCTCATTTATGTCAGATCTGGCCCTCACAACAAATGAGTTCGACACCCCTGTTGTAATGGCTCTTTTAGAGGTAGATTTTATAAAATGTGTTGCTGTTTTCATTGCTTTTTTTAAAACTGCAACTTTCAGGACTGGGGGGCTTTTTTTTTGGCTGCTGTTTGATTTTGATTTCCCCACCCTTTTTGTGAACCACTTTGAGAGCTCCCGTCTCTAGTTCCAGCTCCTGCCAACCTAGCAGTTCGAAAGCAAGACACTGCAAGTAGATAAATAGGTACCACTTCAGTGGGAAGGTAACAGCGTTCCGTGTGCCTTGGTGTTTAGTCATGCCGGCCACATGACCACGGAAATGTCTTCGGACAGCGCTGGCTCTTCACCTTTGAAACGGAGATGAGCACCGCAACCCTAGAGTCGGATTCGACTGGCTTTCGAGCAAGGGAACCTTTACCTTTTAAAGGCCTTAAAGTGTTACAAGGTTTACAGAGATGCTGCAAGATGTTTTGAACATTCTAGAGCGGGGATCTGATATATTTTCGAGCCTCCGGGCACTTTTAGAATTGGCTGCTGCAGGAGGCGGAGCCATCCACAAAATGGCCGCCATGTTGTGGTGGCAGTTGCTCCCAAAGCCCTTCACTACCCAAAGGAGTCTCAGAGAGGCTTACAATCTCCTTTCCCTTCCCCTCCCCACAACAGACACCCTGTGAGGTAGGTGGGGCTGAGAGAGCTCTTTCGAGGACTGCTCTTGAGAGGACAGCTCTGACAGAACTTGTGACTGACCCAAGGCCATCCGGCAGCTGCAAGTGGAGGAGTGGGGAATCAAACCCGGTTCTCCCAGATCGGAGTCCACGCACTTAATCACCACACCAAAACCCTTGGCAGGCACCAGGAAAGGGGGGCAGGGGGGGGGGGGGGGGGCGGCAGCACCACATTGGAGACGCCTGTTCTAGAACATTATGTAAAGATGCTGTTACTATACCTTGGCTGAGCAAAGATTCGTAGTTCTCCTTCACGAGGTTACTGTAGAGGTCTTTCTGCCACTCGGCCAAGTTCTTCCACTCTTCAGCGGAGAAATACACAGCGATGTCGACAAAGGTCACCGGCATCTGGGATGGGAAAAGGAACCAGACATATTGGCGACTGGCCATTGGCCTGCAATGTCAGACTGGAGCCCTTCGTCACTGAGAAATGCTGACCTGGGGCCAGGGGGTCTTATGATGCAGTTAGGGCAGCGATGCTCTGGACATGCAGGAAAAATGTTCTCCTGTCACCCAAAAGGCACACAAATTATGTTCCCTCCTGGGTCATAAGGTCCCAAGGAGAAACCCTCTTGACTGACCCATCAAATAAAGCAACTCATGTGGCGGATACACAAGAGAGGGGCTTTTCGGTGGCAGCCCCACGATTAGGGAACAACCTCCCCAGGGAAGTGTGCCTCCCTCCCTTCCCTTTTGCTCTTTAGGGGGCAGCTTGTCATGATCTGTGTAGGACTGGGAGACAAGGCCTAGGCCCAGGAGACCTGTGTGGGAGTAGAAAGCAGACAGCCCACAATCTCCACAATGCTTAGTGATAGTTGTAACCAACCGGTGTCCAGGGATGGTGTGAGGAGATTGGGACTTAAGCTTTGTGGGCTGTGGAAGTGCGCTCTTTTCTCTACTGTGTTCTTGTCTCTCACAGAGTTAAAATGAGGGGACAGTCTGGTCTGAGAGAAAGATCCCTCACTTGGGACAGAGTGAGTACAGGCACAGGCCTGGTATAAAAGGCTGTGGGCCTTGAATAGTAACTGGTTAAGAGAAATAGGTAGCCGCGTTAGATTTGTTTATTTTGCCTTGACACACTGTTATATATTTTAAGCACTTTGTCTTGTTTTCCTTGCCCCATTTGTTTAATTGCTCTCTGCCTGGTCATCATGCCTATATTTCTCGGCTGTAAAAGGGGCATTTTGGTTGGGCTTGAGAGAGTACTCTGGGCCGTCCCAAGGGACCCCAAGTCCAGAGTGGTGGCAGAGGGTCATGACACAGCTGAAGAGAGTTATATTTAGGGCTGCATTTTAAGTATTTTCTCTATCTTGTAAGTGGCTAACAAACTTTTTCAATAAATAAACAAACACACCAATAAAATAAACTCTTGTTTTGGAACAGGATGCTTAAAGACACAACACAGTCCATGCACACAGACAGCATTACATAAACAAAGAGAAGCCCAAACTGGCTGAACCGGCAGGGCTCTTCTGGTGTTCTTATCGGGGGAAGGCCTCGGCCTCTCTGCCCTGTTGCTGGCCCTCCAGAGGGACTGGCTGGCCCCTGTGTGAGACGGGAGGCTGGACTGGATGGACCCTCACTGGCCTGATCCAGCAGGGCTCTTCTGGTGTCCTTCTCAGGGGAAGGCCTCGGCCTCTCTGCCCTGTTGTTGGCCCTTCGGAGGAACTGGCTGGCCACCGTGTGAGACGGGAGGCTGGACTAGATGGACCCTCCCTGGTCTGATCCGGCAGGGCTCTTCTGAGGTTCTTCTCAGGGGAAGGCCTCGGCCTCTCTGCCCTGTTGTTGGCCCTCCAGAGGAACTGGCTGGCCCCTGTGTGAGACGGGAGGCTGGACTAGAGGGACCCTCCCTCGTCTGTCTCAGCAGGGCTCTTCCAACGTCCTTACACAGATAACTTGCGGAGAGCAGCTGGACCTTCCACTGCGACGGCTGCTGCTTCAGCCCTTGGGCCTGCTGTGAACTCAAAGGATTCCCCCCTTTCTCCCTGGGTGCAGTTTCTACTGGGACCTCCCTCGCACTCTTCCTACGCACCAGCCATCTCCACCACACTCCAGTGCTCCCTCCCCCCCAAAGAGTTTTCCTTCCTCTTGGCTGGGAACAGGCACAGACCCTCCACTGCTTTCGCTGCCCCCCGTCTCTCCCACCCTCCCTCGACCCACCCAGGCCCCGTTAAGTGCTGTTGCTACGAATGGCACAGGATTAACGCTTTCTGCTGTTCCCAAGTTGCAAAATTTTGGGAAATTTTGAAGCTCGGAAAAGAACGGAAATTTTTGGAAAAATTGGAAAAAAAGCTACATTAGCACTTTTTTTTTCTTTTCCAGATTGAAAGTCATTCTGTTACTTTAGGAACATAAAATATGACTATGGACATTTTTACTTGGCATGAAATCATCACAACTAGCATATTAAAAATGTAGTGTATCCAAACAATGATTACAAACAGAATACCCACCCACATGCAAAAAACAAAACTGAAACCTTTTTCTTTTCTTGTGACAACAGCACCTCCTAAAGGAAGAAATGCATCTTGTTCTTGCATTGGAGAGTTCAGGTTGTAACCTAGGACTTGCTTGTCCTCAGTGCCCAGAAATTAGATCAATCTGATACCATACGTATTTTTTAGAAATGATCTGGAGACTATTTGAACACCTTGTCTTACAATATTTTATTCATCATGTTAAAATAAAATGTTCCCTAATCAATTTTTTTGTCTTTTTTTCCAATTTTTCCAATTTTTCGGGAAAAAACGGGGAAAACCCCGTTCCCGCCCCGGATTTTCCCGTTTTTTTCCCCGGGCCTTCACATTTCTAGCCACATCCCCCTTCTCCTTCCGGTTACCTTGGGGATTTCCCCCTTGGAGCCCGGGGGCAGCCGGAGGACCCAGAAGTTCCGGTTCTTGAGCAGGTTCTCCATGTTCTCCAGCCTCCTCTGGAGCATCCCGTATTCCTGGATCAGGGTCCCCAGGACGGCCCACTTGCTCTCCAGCTGGTTCCCGAACTCCATGGCCGTCTTCTCGCAGTCCAGCAGCTTCTTCTCGGCCGTCCCGGACCGGCCCTCCAAGCTGAGCAGGCGGGTGGCCAGCAAGTCGATCTTCCTCTCCATGGCCTGGACGGTGGCCACCACGCTCCAGAGGGAGGCCTCCGCCGTGTGGAGTTGGGCTTCCCGCATGTGGCTCAGCTCGGGGACTAGGGGAGGCTGGAGGGGCATCAGGTGTTGCGCCTCGACATTCCACTCCTGGATCTGGAGACAGAGAGATATTATTTCGTAGAATCGTAGCATTGGAAGGGCTCCCACAGGGTCATCTAGTCCAGCCCCCCTTGCACAAGGCAGGAAATTCACAAATACCTCCCCCCCACAAACCCTCAGTGACCCCTGCTCCACGCCCCAAAGATGACAAAAAACCTCCAGGATCCCCGGGCCAAAATGGCCTGGAGAAAATTTGCTTCCTGACTCCCAAAGTGGTGATCAGCATTTCCCTGGGCATGTAAGAAGAGAATTGGATTTATACCCCACCCTTCACTGGGAGTCTCAGAGTGGCTTATGAACTCCTTTTCATTCCCTTCCCCACAACAGACACCCTGTGAGCAATGCTCCCTCTAAGCTGTGGAGTCTGGTGAGCAAAAATCCTACTTTGTGGGCTACTGGCATTAAAGTGGTGAGCAAGCCATTTGGCTACTGCAGAAATCAGTTTGCTCTGGAGCCCTCCTTCCTGAGCTAAGACAAAAATGTGTGAGCCGGAGGCTAAAAAACTGTGAGCTAACTCACACTAACTCAGCTTAGAGGGAACACTGCCTGTGAGGTAGGCGGGGCTGAGAGAGCTCTTTCCAGAACTGTCCTTGAGAGAACAGCTCTGACAGAACTATGGCTTGCCCAAGGCCATCCAGCAGCTGCAAGTGGAGGAATGGGGGAATCAAACCCAGTTCTCCCAGATTAGAGTCCGCATACTTAATTGAGAGCCAGTTTGGTGTAGTGGTTAAGTGCGTGGACTCTAATCTGGGAGAACTGGGTTTGATTCCCATTCCCCACTCCTCCACTTGCACCTGGCTGGATGACCTTGGGCAAGCCATAGTTCTGTCAGAGCTGTTCTTGAAAAAGAGCAGTTTCTGTCAGAGCTCTCTCGGCCCCACCTACCTCCCAGGGTGTCTGTTGTGGGGAGGGGGAGGGAAAGGAGATGGTAAGCCGCTCTGAGACTCCTTTGGGTAGTGAAGGGATGGGTATAAATCCAAACTCTTCTTCTTCTTAACCACGACACCATAAGAAAGGGCCACAAGAACTAAGCACTGAGGCAACCCTTCCTTATTTAATTCTCCAGTGGGGGCAGCTTACACCGTTCTCCTGTTCTCCATTTTATCCTCACAACAACCCTATGAGGTAGGACAGGCCGAGAGAGCATGACTGGCCCAAGGTCACCCAGCGAGCTTTTATAACACAAGTCGGAATGCGAACCTGGGTTTCCCAGATACCAGCCCGACACTCTTAAAACACCAGACCACCAGTGTTCCCTCTAAGCTGAGTTAGCGTGAGCCAGCTCGCAGTTCTTTAGCCTCCAGCTCACACACTTTTGTCTCCGCTCAGGAAGGAGGGCTCCAGAGCAAACTGATTGATGCAGCAGCCAAACGGCTCGCTCACAACTTTAATGCCAGGAGCTCACAAAGTAGTAGAATTTTTGCTCACAAGACTCCACAGCTTAGAGGGAGCACTGCAGACCACACTGGCTCGCAATGGCTAGAGCAAGGTGGAGCTCCCAAAGGGCGAGGACACCCGACCAAAGACTCCGTCAGCTTCATGGGCAGGGAAGGCAAATCCGCAGATCACCCTGGCTGAACCACTAGCAAGGACACTGAGCTCAGAGCCGCCCTTGGTGGAGTTGTTCCCTGGGCAGGAATCCAGCGTCCTTTGCCCCTCCTTGGACAACAATAGAGACGTAAAATTTCCGGAAATTTTGAAGCTCGGAAAAAAACCCGGCTTTTCCCCGCTTTTTTTCGGGGGGAAACGGAAATTTTCGGAAAAATTGAAAGAAATGCTACATTAGCATTTCTTTTGTCTTTTCTTTTCCAGATTGAAAGTCATTCTGTTACTTTAGGAACACAAAATAGGACTATGGACATTTTTACTTGGCATGGAATTGTCACAACTAGCGTATTAAAAATATAGTGTATCCAAACAATGATTACAAACAGAATACCCACCCCCATGCAAAAAACAAAACTGAAACTTTTATTTTCTTCTGACAATCGCACCTCCTAAAGGAAGAAATGCATCTTGTTCTTGCATTGGAGAGTTCCGTTTGTAGCCTAGGACTCGCTTGTCCTCAGTGCACGGAAATTAGATCAATCTGATACCATATATATATATTTTAGAAATGACTTGGAAAATATCTGAACACCTTGTCTTAAAATATTTTATTCATCATGTTAAAATAAAACGTTCCATAATCAATTTTTTTTTCTTTTCTTTTTTCATTTTTTCCAATTTTTCCGAAAAAAACAAAAAGGCTTCAGGGAAAAAACGGGGGGGAGGGGGGAACGTTTCCCCCCCAATTTTTTCTCGGGCTTTCACATCTCTAGACAACAAGGAGGCAAAGAACGTGAGAGACGATTCTCCACCTCATCTCGAGAGCCGTCAGAGAGGAAGGACTACATTTGAGTTGGGTGGCTCAGTATCGTCAATGGGCACCTGTTTTGCGAGCCAGAAGTCCTAGGCTCCATCACTGTTGTCTTACACACAAAGCTGCCTTCTACTCAATCAGACCCTTTAGGGTCCATCATGGCCAGTATTGTCTACTCAGACTGGCAGCCGCTCTCCAGGGTCTCAGGCAGAGGAGGTCTTCCCCGTCACCTCCTGCCTGGCCCTTTCTCAACTGGAGATGCTGCCAGAAATTGAACCCAGGACCTTCTGCATCCGAAGCAGAGGCTCTCCCACTAAGCCACTTAAAAAAAGATGAGGTCACGCGAAAGACCTTGACCAAGACCCTGGAGAGCGGCTGCCGGCCAGAGCAGAGAGCATCGAGCTGAATGGACCAAGGCTCTGACTGAGTCCAAGGCAGCTTCACGTGCTCAACGGGAAGAGCCAGATGATAAATACCGTCATCCACGCTCGTTGTCCCACTAGGCCCGGATGTCCTGCTGAACTGATAACTGCATCTAGATGGACCTTCCGACCATTGGAGCTGCCTTGTGTTGCACAAACCTGCTGACCACGCCTGCTGGCCACCATCTTTCTTGAGTCCCCCGTCCCAGCTGGAGAGCTTTAGTGGTCTTGGTGTTGGGCATGGGCAACCTACACCCACCTACAAAGCACACCGTAGGTCTCAAACTAACGCCCTGACGAATGTCAGACCCGGATCTGGCCAATAGAGGGCACTGCAGCGGGATGAGTCAGACCAATAAGGAAGCCCATTCATTCCCGTAGGCCACAGCAGGTCAGGTGACTTTTACCAAAGCTTCCAGGTCAGGCTTGCCTGCTGGTCTGAGCCAAGAGGAGATTTTGCTCTGAATTTTGTTCTTCCGGGTGCTGGCGACATTATTGTCTGCCCTCAGCTTGGCAGGAGAAGGGAGTCGCATCTACAGAGGATCACAACTCTGCCTTGCTTCGCCGAGAGAGCAGTACATGGCAGGTTCAAGGCAATGCACACTCAATTCATGGAAGCCAGGAAAGACAACAGTGTTGGTCAAAATAAAAATAACAGAACAAATTTAGAGTCCAGTGGCACCTTTAAGACCCACAAAGGTGCCACTGGACCCTAAATTTGTTCTACTGCTTCAGACCAACACAGCTGACCACCTGGATCTAAAATAAAAATAACTTCGAGAACAGCTAGATTGAAGTCCAGTAGAACTTAGAGAAGTGGTACTTAGATACGTGGACCTAAGTTCAAGTCCCACGCCTCCCAAAGACCTGTGCTCTTAACTTTGGGTGAATGGGCCTCTCTTACTCCCATTACGAGCCCTTCTCAGAGGACACCACCACACATGCCGCGAGCCACCAATGGAAAAGTGTGCGCCCCACAATGTTGCAGGTACAAGTGGCCGACATTTTGTGTGTGAAGAGGGCAACACAAGGATTTTCTGCGTGCCAGCAACTTTGGTACACACGTCCCAAAACTGGAGATCCTGCCAGGCTGTGGTGGCTCAGAGGTTGAGATGCTGAGCTGCAGACCGGAAGGTCGGTACCTCGGCAGTTCGAGACCCGAGTGCCGCGTGACGGAGTGAGCTCCTGTCTCCAGCCCCAGCTCCTGCCAACCTAGCAGTTCAAAAGCAAGAAACTGCAAGTCAATAAATAGGTAACGCTTCGGTGGGAAGGTAACATGCCGGCCACATGAACGCGAAGAAGTCTTCAGACAGCGCTGGCTCTTCGGCTTGGAAACGGAGATGAGCACCGCCCCCTAGAGTCAGATTTGACTGGCTTTCGAGCAAGGGGAACCTTTACCTTTTTACCCAAAACTGTGGCATATGCTGAAGCTGTACACACATGGAATCCCCATGCTGCTCTCGTCGTTGACCACACGCACCAAGTGAATAGTAGGTAGTGGTCGCTGCCGTTAAAGGACGCCCGGTACTAACAGGTGTATTGTCCAAAAATGGCTGTTGTCAGGAGTATACGTACTACGGCCAAACGAGCACAACAATTCAGTACCGGCCACAGAATTCAGCATCCTAAGAATGGCAGTTTTCATTTTAGAAAAAAACAACAACCCCCGGCCTCATTGCTACAAAACAGCAGTGTTCCCTCTAAGCTGAGTTAGTGTGAGCTAGCTCACAATTTTTTAGCCTCCGGCTAACACATTTTTGTCGTAGCTCAGGAAGGGAGGGCTCCAGAGCAAACTAATTGATGCAGTAGCCAAATCGCTCGCTCACAACTTTAATGCCCAGTAGCTCACAAAGTAGAACTTTTGCTCACAAGACTCCACAGCTTAGAGGGAACATTGCAAAACAATCATTTTTTTTTTCCCTTTCAGGTACCGAGGTGCAGGGCTTGACCTGGAAGAACCAGGAGGGCCCGATCTTGTGGGATCTGGGAAGCCAAGCAGGGTCGGCCCTGGTCGGTACCTGTTTGGGAGATCAACAAGGAAGTCCGGGGTTGCTAGGCAGAGGCAGGCCAGGGCAAACCACCTCTGAATGTCTCCTGCCTTGAAAACCCAGCAGGTTCACCATACGTCGTCTGTGACGGCACCTTCCGTGCACACAGAGGCCAGTGTATACAGAGATTTCCGTAGACCA